TACTATAATACAAAAACATTTTATATTTTACTTTAGTTTATAGTATAATATAATATAATATCCTTTATCCTTTTTCAAAGAGACAAGAGACAGACAGCCTTGCAAATCAAAGATCAAAATGGATACACATGCATCCAGTGATTGCGATGTTTTTCAAGCTTTTCGAGTATTGATACTTGGCTTGCACCCACAGAAATAAAATCATAAAGAGTGGGAAAACATTGTTGAGGATAATGTTTGGTGATTGTTCACTTTCGTAACCAAAGTTTTTAGCACGAGAATAACTACAAAATTAACTTTTAAGATGTTGACTTGGATGGTAATCCTTCTTTAATTGTTAATAATGCTAACTAATTAGCTAACTAATTTTTTAATTACTAACCGCACCAGCTTTTCTTGTTAACTAAGCTGCGAGCTGTTAGCTTCACTTGCCACTAAATTGTGTCAACTCATTGCCAGTTAGCTCCTAAAGAATTGCATCAGATGGATAAAAGCCTATTTGATATTATTATATTAATTATGACGTTTTTTGTAATTATAAAGAAGAGGTTTGAATCTATTATTTATTTATTTATTTTTATTAATGTCGATCGAGGTGTAAGATTATTATGATTCTTTCTTTGGCAGTTTTATATCACTACGTTGTTGTGTTTGTGTGTTACACTACTACTAAGCTAGGTAAAAGCAGCGACCATTAGAGGCAGGGTTTGGTATCAAGGAGTTTGCTCTCCAGTGGTCTCGGGTTCGAGTCCTAATTGCTTCTTTTGGTGGCCATCGAAGGTTTACATGATCGTTAATTTTAAAACTCGTGAGATTAGTCGAAGTGCGTGTAAATTAATCCGGACACCTGCATTATAAAAAAAAAAAAAGCAGCGACCATCGCGACGTGACAAACTGATCCTTGGTAAAGCAGGGCTCTGTTTTGAAAAGTGCACTTCCAAAAAAAAAAAAATCACCCCTTAACCTGCATATCAAATTATACATTAAACAATGCATGAACCAAACAATGTAGTAAACTTTTTTCGAACATAAAAAAACCAGAATTCAATTAGAAATTTGCTCATCAAGCATAAGAAGAAAGCTAACCGACCCACTTTTGGTGATTTATTCTACGAAATTCAATTGTTATTTTGCTAAGCTACTTCTCTTCATTAATTATGCCAACCCACTCTGATCCAATATGTACTTCCAAATTTTAAAGTATGGAAATCAGCCTTTCATATCTCAGAGTATCCATTCATTTTAGTATTAATTAGCCGATTGTTTATTTAATTAATTTTTTTAATATTTTTTTATAACTTTTCAGTTTAAAATAAAAAACATAAATCATTCTTCTTTATAGATTGATTTTAAAATAAAAAATTAAAATATTAATAAAAAATTAAAAAAAACTTTTAAAACATATTTTTCATAATATTTTATTTCAAAGAATAAATTTATAATTAATGGATAGATTTTTATAAAATTAAGAAATGAAAAAAAATTATTTAATGCTAATGAGAAGATTAATTTTTGAAATTATCCGCGAAATATTGCGAGCGAGAGAACAAAATCATTTCAAAATTTTATAATTTTTTCATTAATTTTTTATTTAATTATTACTATTTTTTTGTATGTGTTTTTTTGTACAATTTTTGCTTAAAAAAATGATTTGTTCTTTTTTATTCGAGGATTCTTAAATAAAAACTTGTAATAATTTAAACCTAAAATATTAATTAAGAATTAAAAAATAAATACTTTAAAAATATTTTTTTATAAGAATGTATCAAAAAAAAAAAGTTACAATTAATGTATAGATTTGCATAAAAATTAACTAATAAAAAATAAAAATTTATTTTTATTTAATGTTGGTGGGAAGATTTTTTTTAAAAGTGTATGCATTTGATCTTTATATATTTATTTACAAAAGAATAATCAATAAAATTAGCATAAAAATTGTATTTGAATAATTAGTTGGTTCCTTTAAAAAATTATTTTAATTATTTTGTTTCGAATAAATTAGTTTTATAATTTTAAAAAATATTCATAGTAAATAATTTATATTATGTTAGAAGATGTATAATTATTTTTTAACAAAAATAATGATTCAATAGTTTTTTTTATATGTCTTGACCATACATAGTGAATTGAGATAAATTATTTGAAATAAATTTTTAATCTTTTAGAATAAAATAATTATATATTTATATATATATGCAACTATCATTTAAAAATTCTAAGAATTCATGATATATATTATACCAATTTATTTTTTGAAAAAGAAAAAAATAATGTTTTAAAATTTTATTTTAAAATTTAAATAAAGAGAAAAATAAATTATATTTATCGAGTATAATTGAATGTATAGCATAAATTAAAAAATATTTTTTAAAAATAAATTATAAATATATATTGAAGTTAATAGAGTGTAATAAAAAATATAAAATTGATTTCAATAAAATTTGATTATATAAAGAACTATAAATCCATTGACACGCCCAGTTTCTTGAACATTTAGCATGAAAAAATTGTTTGTAAATTAGTTTTTATTTTTCATTCTAATTTGCATGCAAACTTACGTGTCAATGGATAAATAGTAAAATAATGTTGAATAATGATAAATGATTGATCCTTCATGAAATTAAGTAGTAACTGCAACATGTGCTTGTAATGAATTTTTTCATGAGAAGTTTGTCTGTATAGCATTATTCAAAAATAAATAAAATAAAAATGCCTGGTAAGATAAGTACATGATAATTACTAACTCACTATAGGTTTTTTTTTCCAAATAGGATAATGTATGAGTGGTTTGGTGACTCGGTTGTACGACTAATATAATGATAACACTCATTATATATATATATATATAACTTGGGAAAAAAAAATTGCAAAAAATTACAAAAATACCACATGATGAACAGTGAATCAAGGCAAATGAACAGTAAATGAATAATGTTTTACTGTTATTTGCTTAAGATCTTTTAGTTATACTAGTCGGCTCCTCGCTCTATGCAACGGGCCAAATAAAACGTGCTTATTTCAGTTCAATAGCTTGTATTATGAAATTGATCAACTAAAATATATTAAATTAAAAATAAAAAAATCATCTAATTTCATACTTTTTTAAAAATTTTGCATTTTTTTTATTATTAAAAAATACAATTCATTATTCGCTACTCATTCATTCTTAAATAAAAACCTAATGTAAATAAAAAATTTAATAATTTTTTTTTAAATCTTAATATATTTTTTTTAAATCTTAATATCTTTTCTATAAGATTTCATAGAAGAAATAAAGCAATAATCAATAAAAAAGAAAAACTTGTTTAAAAATTAACTAATGAATCTTTTTTAACTTTTTAAAATTTATGCATTTGATTTATATATATTTATTTACAAAATAATTAACAATATTAGTATAAAAATGTATTTGAATTATTATTTGGTTCTTCAAAAACAATATTTTAATTATTTTATTTGAAAAAAATATTTTTAAATATTAAAAAAATTAATAGCAAATGATTGGTGTTACGTGTGTACATGCATAATAAAAAAAAATTAATAGCCATTGCATCATAAAAAAAATGTTATAATAATAATTTGAGCGCAAACACAAAATTTTTAATTGACTTTTATTTTAAAAGCATTATTCAATTTGTTTGTGTATCAACTTACATTAAACTTTATTCATGTAAAATCTTAAAAAACAAATCTAGAAAACCCGAAAATGCATTTAAAAGAATAGATTATTGATTAATATAAATCCTTTATAAATAAGCATTGTCTTTATTATACAAATAAATAGTAATAAGCCACAGTCTGGTAAGAGTATAGTAATGGAAAAGCATACAATAATCAGGGGCAACAAAGAATTAATAATCCATTGCAATCATTTTCCTATTATATAATAATGCCGATATTATTATTATTGTTATTATTATTATTACTACTACTACTATTATTATGTGTGGACTATATTAAACTATTTGAAAAATAGAAATTTGCACGCAATATAATTTGGGATTCTTACAAACCATCTGAGTTATGTGAAGTGAACAAATTTTGATAAGCTTTGAGACAACATAAAAATATTGCACAAATCTTAGATTAAGGTAAAAAAAAAAAACAATTTAATATGGGATTCATCAAAACTAACAAAGAAAAAAACAATTAAGTGAGTGATTTTATGTTAATTATATGATATTATTTTATTAGTCTAACTTGGTTCTCTCTCTCTCTCCTTTTTTTTTTTTTTTTTTTCCAGTATCACTAATCTAAGCATCAGTCATTGGCGAAAAGATTATATATACAAATCATGATGGATTATTTTTGGTTCCCATTAAAATTGAATTATTCTAGTAATTATGTCCTTGCAAAAGAGGCGTAGTCCCTGTCAGCAAACATAATTTGATGCTACCTTCTCCGTATTTAGTTACTGCCATTGATCCTCAATCTGTGAGCTGAATTGCAATCCTTCACATTTCTTTTTTCTTCTAGTTGGAAATCTAAGGGCACACCATAAGAAGAAAAAACAAATGAAAATTAAGAAACGAAAAGAGAGAAGACTTGAATAAACTTTGGTATTTGGTTAGAAAGTACCATGATCATAGGGCTTACCCTTCATAAATCCTTTAAGTGGCGACATTACATATTCAAAGGTTTGACACAAAAAGTATATTGGAAGCGTTTTATTTTTAGAAACTGATTGAAAAATTAGTCTATTACAACGTCATGATCTGCTCTGGTTGCCTACATATCAAAAGGAATAAACGAGCACTGTTCACTTCGATTAGCTTGCGATTTCTATCCTTCAAATTCAAATTCAATCTCAAAGTCGACAGTGAAAGAAAACAAACAGAGACTAGATGTTCAACCAGCCACCTACTGGAAATAATAGTCTAGCTCAACAACAACTAGAAGAAACTAGATGTTCAACCAACAGACACTTGAACATCGTCATCCACAAAAGAGGAGTTGGTGAATTTGCCCAACTACAGAATCTATTAGTTGAAACAATGGTTTCACTGCTGTTTGTCATTTGAAGTTGCAGCTACAGCTTTATTGTACTCCTCCAGTTCCTTCTTGTATCCTTCCATTGCTTCTGCAGCTTTGGAGTTCCAGATTTGCCTCTCTTCTTGATTAAGTTCCTGTAAACCCAACAACAACAGTTACAAAATCAGACACTTGCGTACTTGGAAGCTAACCATTACTCCAACCAAAACAAAGGATTTTACAAAATGAATTACCTTCCACTTCACAGAAATCATTGCAGTAAGAGTGGAATTGTTGATTCCAGGTCGCTCTTGCAACAAACTTTTCCTTGTTTCCTTGCTGTATCGGAGAAAACAATAGCTTAACAACTTTAATTGCAAATGCTGCATTGGAGAGTGTGACCATCTAAGAGAGGCTTTTACCTGAACAGAAGGAATGAAGATGCAGGCTTCTTAGGCTTGTTAGGATCGACAATCTGCTGCTGCTTCTTCTGGCGTTGCTCTTTGGTTTTCTGTACATTATAGAGTGCACATTTAGCCACCAGAAAGGCTCCAAAAACACAGTTAAAAAGCAGCAGATAGATAATCTAACCTTGATGATGTTTTCAGTTTTCTCTTTCTTCTTAAGCAATTGCAATGCTTCCTGTTTCTGAAGTTTCATCAGTTCTTCCTCTTCTTTCTTGAGATTCGTAGCTTCTTCATCCTTTTTCTGCTTGTAAGCCTCCATTTCTTGGATGTACTTTTCCTTGTTCTTCTTTGCAATCTGCAATTTTCTGAAGCAGCTAAGAAACCAAACTGAGTAAAATATTTAAACTCCCAACTAAAAGAAGCGTTGTGTGAGGTATAAACCTCTTCATAAGGCCCCCTTTGTTTTTCTGTCATGTTTTTCCATTCTTCACCAGCAATTTTGGCCACCTCCAAAACATTCTTGTTCTCCGCAAGTAGAGCAGCCCTTCTTTCATTAGAGAAAAGGAAAAATGCAGACAATGGATGCTTTGGTTTCAGTGGATCCTTTTCTTTCCTGAGAATGAACAAAAAAAAAAAAAAAAAAAATCAGTAGTTCTATAATCAACAAGTTAGAGGAAGAGACAGTATAGTGTATTGCTTCTGATTTACTTGGTCGTCTTGGTCTTCTTGTTGTTCTCTTCCTGGTATGCTTCCTGCTTGAACTGGAGGTATTGTTCAAGCAATTCCATAGCTGTCTTCTGCTTCTGATCCTCTTCCAAAAGCTTCATTGCTTCACTCTCCCTCTTCTCCTTTGTCATTACTTTCAGATAGGCTTCCTTTTCAGCCTGATACTTTTCCTCATAAGGCTTCTTCTCCTCTGCAGTAATGGTCTTCCACTTTGCCCCCAAAATGTTCGAGATATCTTTAAACTCTGCTTCTGGGTTTTCTTTCTTGACCTGTAGACAACAAAACCCCCCAAATTAATCCGCATAAAGAGCAAAAAACATGTTTAATTAAAAAGCTTTAATGGGCATCACTTAACCCATTTCTATGCTTACCTCATTCCATTGATCTTTGCACCATAGTGAGTATGGCGGGCATGGCCTTTTGATTTCATTGCCACTCTTCTTTTTCTTCTTGTCTTGCTCCTTTTCATTCAAAGCTTGAACAAATGGGAGAGTCTGTACAAAGATTCATATAACTAAAACCCATCAATTCAAACCCTAAAAAATAAAAAAAAACTAATTAATAATCTTTCATGCCTTCTTGATTGAAAAGATAACATTCTTTTGTTTTGCCCAACAATTTCTCAGCAAACCCAAGAAAATTAACAACTCAAACCTGAAGTTAAACATTAAATCAAAGCATCCTCAAATCAACAACCAAGTAAATATTAAATCCAAATCCTCAAAATTGGGTACAGTCCCCTATTTACCAAACCCTTAAGACAACAAACCAAAAACCCATGAAATCAAGAAAACTAACCATGGTGGGCTTAAACTCCTTCAGCTTCTGCAACTTCTTCAACTCCATCTTCATTTTCTCATGTTCTTTACCCTTCATTTCAATCTCCTCATTTTTAGCCTTCAACATCTCGTCTTTCTCCTTCATCAACACCTCAGTCTTCTCTTTCTCAAGCTTCAACTGCTGCAACATTTCTTGCATTTCTTGAAAATCCTTCTCAAAAGAAGAAGCCGAAGCCTCTTTGTTCTGCTTTGCTTTTGCGGCCTTGGATTTCCCTTTCTTGGGTGAAGGCCTAGGTTGAGAAAGACTCTCATGATTTTCTTTTGTAGGGTCAGTATCTGATGGGGGCAAAACGCTGGCTGGAGATGTCTCAGAGAGCTTTTGAGCCATTATATTGGCTTCATTTGTTGACGGGCTCTTCTGTTTCAAAGCTTTCCTGTTGTTTCTTGATTTCTTTGGAACAATTAAGGCTACAGCAGTATCAGCCATTCTTGAACCTTGATTTTGAGAGAGAGAGAGAGTTGGTTTTATGGTTTCGGGGTAGAGATGATTGAAAGAATTGTAGATTATATAGGAGGAAAGGAGAATAGCGCAACGGCTAGTATTTTTTCGAATTTCAAATGAGTTGTTCAAGCTTTAAGGGATGGTTGAGGTCCGGAATCGGGAATCTGATTCATGGTTTAAAAAAATTGACCGTTAAGGGGGAATGCGTGGATTTGTTTACCATAAAAGGTGTAAATGTTTTAGTTTTGGCAATGGCGGATTGCCATTTTCCATTTTAGGTCTTGTTATTGATTTTCGAATATTTTATTAATTTTGCAAGTTGGTGCGAGAGTGGAGCGGGAAACTAAAAGCATAATTCCAAGGATAGACCTTTTTTTTTTTTTTTTTTTTGAAGGATTTTAAGTACCCATACATACACACAATAATACATGCAGTAAGTGGTATAGGAAAATCACAAGGTCTGGTACCAAACGAATTGTCATTGTTCCAGGAGATGGAGAAATTTTATAATGCATAAGACTAGTTAGTAATATATATAATAATTACTTTATGGATCCATTTTGAGAAGAGAGATAGACACATTAAATTATATTTACACCTACCAAAAGTGATAAGAATATTTTCACATTCACTCAATTTTTTTTAATTTTCTCTCTCCCGTTTCTCTCTTTTTTTTTTTTTTATATATCTATCTCTCTCTTCAAAGTGAGTCAATGGAGTAACTATTATACATATCCCTAGTTACTTCTTGTGTATTATAAAATTTCTTAATGAAGATGGATCCGACTTATTGCTCCCATAAAAGACACATTAACAATTAAAAAGTTGAAAGAAGAAAACTCTAATTGTCAATTCTCATTGGGGAAGACTATTTTGGAATGAATGTGATGCGGACCAACAAGTCCGGGAATTCATGAAACAATATGATTGCGAGCAAAACTTAGAAAAAAACACCGTTGGCCTAATTTTGAGGTTTTTTTAGCTTAATTCGATGCGAAACGAGCCAACGAGCAAAAGGCATGGGCTATGCCCATGATGTAGGGGTTGTTTTGGTCAAAAACATCGTTTAGGCCCTCAAAATTGTAATTTACTATTTCAGCAGGATTTCTCCTAATTATTTTTGAATTTTAGTGTTTATTTCCCTTTTAAATTGCTTTGGGGTTTTATCCGAAAATTTATTATTTATATATGATTTTGAGAATGAAAAACACTACTTTTGCTTGATTAATGAACTTTGTGAGAGAGTATTTTAGTTTTTTCAATTGTCGACATTCTTTGAATCAACGAGATTGAAGCCTATTTCTTGGTCTTTGTGTGTGCAATTCAACATGTTATAGTAAACCGATATCTAAATTTCGGATCAACATTATTTATTCTTTTTTTGTGAGTTTTCGCTACATTAATTGGTATCGAGCTCAAATATGGCTTTCCCGACCATGCCGCTAAAGAGACAACAACGGCGAGAGCGAGATATGGATGAGATCTATGAGTGCACCGATAGGATGCATTTAGAGCAATGAGTTAAGCGGATGAATGATAGGATCGAATAATTGACACGACGAGATATAAGCGTTGGCACATCGGATAGGTGCACCGACGATGAATATAGATAGAGGCCCTAAAAACCAAAATCGAAATCATCATTGGGAGGCGCCGCAGGCCGATCTTGATGACGAGGATGATGATGAAAATAGCTTAGTTAGGCGATAGAGGATTCCTATAAGAGATTATGGCGAGTATAAGGTATGAGAGTGGTATGCGAGCCGAGATTCTTGAATTTTCTAGTACCTTTTAGGCGGAAGAATTCTTGAACCGGTTGTCAATGGTGGAGAGATTCTAGAATTTAAGGAGGTCCCCGAGGAGAAATGTGAGTCATTAGTAGCCACCGGATTCAAGAAAAGAGCAACGGGTTGGTGGAAGCGACCAAAGCTAACCAAAAATCGGATGAGTAAGCCTAAGATTATGTATTAGGAAAAGATGAAGAAGCACATATGTACTCGCTTTCTTACCTTACAACTTCCAAAGGATGATGTACCAACGGTTACGGGATTTGAAATAGAAGGTCCAATTAGTAGATGATCGCACCATTGAGTTTTATTAGTTGTTAGCTTAGAAGGAACTATAAAAGATAGAGAATTATCCGGTTGCGAGGTATATTGGTGGATTGAAACCACAGATTATGGACTTCATTGATATGTTTGACCTTGTGTGTCTTTCAATTGCCTTTCGAAAGCACTGCAAGTTGAGAAGCGATTATGCCATTTGAGTAGTTTTATTAATCCTTTCGGTACATAGGGAGTAGCGATTTAGGTGGTGGTGTAGGTTGAGTAAGAGGTGATGATAACAAAACACAACCGATAACAATATGAAGTGTTTTAGCTTGTTTCAAAATTAGCCATAAGCAATCCAAGAGTCAAAAAGCGAGACAAAAGGACGCTTCGTCGATAAAAAGGATTACGATGAAGTCGATGTAGAGCTAGCTAGTGATCATATTTATTATGATAGAGACGCCTCGAAGGAGGAGGTTGTGAGGGACAATGAAGGGATAACACTTGGTTGTTAGGAGGTCTTGTTTGACTCCTAAGTTGTCGATGATGATTGGTTAAGGAGTCATATTTTCCAATCCACTTGCACAATTTGGGATAAGGTATTTCGTTTTGTCATTGATGCTTGGTAGTTATGAGAATATTATATCTAATGAAGTAGTGTAGAAACCGAATCTCAAAACGGAAGGGCACTCTAAGCCTTATAAACCGGCATTGCTTAAAAATGAGGAAGAGGTAACTCGTTTCTCAACGAGCTTTGGTTTTTTTTTTTTTTTTTCCTATTGGCTCTAAGTAAGTATTAGGATAATGTGTTATGTGATGTGGTTACAATGGATGCATGCTATTTACTAGTGAGTAGGCCTTGACGGTATGATAGGGGTGTAATTCATGATGGACGAGTTAACACATAGTTTTATATTTAATGGAGTAAAGATTGCATTTGTACCTAGCAAGATCCTAGGTGTTTCCAAACTTGTAGGAAACAATAGCAAGTCGGTATTGCTAGCTCGATTTATGGAGATAGTTGAGAAGATTAACCCCAATGCTTATCGCTTGAAGCCGCATAGTCATATCCATACTACCGATGTTTTCAATGTCAAGCATTTGATTCCCTTTCGTAGTGACTCTTCGATGATGATGATACAAACAATTTGAGGGCAAATTTTCTCTTTCCTGGGGGAATGATGTTGACCAACGAGTCCGAAAATTTATGAAACAAGTATGAACACGGCAGAAGCTGAAAAAAACATCATTGGCCCAATTCTAAGGTTTTTTAAGCCTAATTCGATGCTAAACGGACCGACGAGAAAAACTCATAGGCAAAGCCATGATGTAGGGGTTATTTTGGCAAAAAAACATGAGGGTAGACCCTTAAAATTGCAATTTGTTGTTTCAGTCGGATTTTTCTAATTATTTTTAGATTTTAGTGTTTTTTTTCTTTTCAAATTGCTTTAGAGTTTTGATGAAAATTTACTATTTATATATGAATTTGAAGCTGAAAAATGCTACTTTTGCTTGATTAATAAACTTTATAAGAAAGTATCTTAGTTTTTTCAATTGTCAGCATTCTTTGAATCAACGAGATTGAAGACTATTTCTTAATATTTTTATGTACAATTCAACAAATTGTAATAAATCGATATCTAAATTTCAAATCAATGATATTTATTCTTTTTTTTATGAGTTTCTGTTACGTCAGAATGACATTGTTTATCATTGAATAACAAACGGGTGAAATCTTGATTGATTTTGTTAGAGATGGATCATTCATGATATCAATGCGAAGTCATGGTTAAACCTGATTAACTTTAACATGGATTATAATTAAGCTTGATTCTCCTTCTCTCCGGTAATAATGGTGTACTCTTTTAAGTGAAGCCAAATATATGGCAACTGTATCAACGACCTTGGTTGCACCCACAAGCAGGGAAGCTATCATCATCAACAACTTCCATGGGGGCAGTATTCCTAATACTCATCTAACAAAGAAAAAAATGTATAAAAAATATGGCAGATTTTAATAATCTATCTCTAGATAATCTCATCAACCTTTTACAGCCATCTCCTTTATCACATCATTCCAGAAGTCAATTGGCCCAGGCATCCACCAGAGTAAACAATCATTCTGAACTCTGGCATTTTTGTCTTCTGCACCAATGTACACAATCAAAATCTGTATGCACCTGGATGCCCATCTGGCCGTGATAACAAAGAATTTCTGCAATCGAGGAGTTAAGGATTAGCCCCCGTCTTTTTTTTCCTCCTTTGGATAAAGTAAATGTATCATATTTAAAATAGACACCAAGAATGCAAATACAGACTTGGAGATAAAAAGTCTAGAGCTCTTACCAAAAAACAAGAGCCCAAAAGTACACGAGAGAGTAACAGCTTATACATATTATTATTCTTTTCAGAGTCGGCAACAGCAATTATCATGTCTGATAAATACAAGGTAAACCAAGAACAAATACCAGACAAGCTTTACCCTGTTCTCAGCAGCTTTTGTTGATGGCTTCTCAACCTTGACATATTCAATACTAGGAAGAAACTTGTTCCAGTCATTTAATGCAACATCACATGACAGTGGAAGTCACATAATGAAGTCTTCTTTTTGAATGGAAAAAGCCATAGGAGAATCAAGTCTTGTTATATAGGAAAATTCGGCAACTTGATCTGTTTCATGAACACCATATCCATGTTTTAGATAATGTCACTATATCAGTTTAAGACTACATAAACAACCATAACCAGCACGAATATAGACAGACTATAAAGCGCTGTAATCCCCATACACTGATAGAAGTCATTTTCCTATCAATGGCGATGATAATGCTACTAAAATGTCTGCCTACATTCTTAACTGGCATAAACAACTTCTAGGGGCATAAAAAGGAGATGACGGCAACTAATTAGAATAGAGATGCATGCTCTGATGTAGCTGTGGCTAAAACCTTGCAATATGAGATGTTGAAAAAAATACTTACAGTTTTTAACATCTGAAAAATCATCTGTAGCCCTTCCCGAGGCAGTTCAGACAACGTTGTACCCTGCAATAGATAATAAGTCATCAACAAAAGCCGCAAAAAAGCATAATAAACAACGTAATGAAAACTAGAATTAGTTACAAAATATATGTTAGCCATTATCATTTCACAATTTCACATAGCAATCAAGTCAATTGCCATGTAAATTTCAGTCCAGCAATGCGCAAACCAATAGTATATCAAGATATTCGGTACATATGTCACAAGGAACAGACAACCACTAACCTATTACCATCACAAGTAGGGCAAAGGCAAGGATTGATTGCAATAGGATCATGCAAAGGTGACCAGTTTATACTAGCATTCCCTTTGCACAGCTTGCATAAGTAAAACCCTTTTCCTCTGCAAACGCCACAAGGCATCGCAACTCTTCTCTATAAAAAAGAAAGGGAAAAAAAATCAGAAAGACAAATCTCAAACAGATAATGATAATATAGCAAAAGAAAGGTTATGGTTCTCCGAATGACCAGTTTTAGATCAGTGGCAAAACGAAGCACACTGACAGCAATAGAGGAAGTGATGTTGAGAGCAAGCACACCGCCCAAGATGACAGCACTGCCAGTGGCAAGTGTGCGCAATGGCTTTGGAATCATCTTCTGAGGGGTGGAAGTTTTTACAGTCTGTTGTTCACACAGTATGAGTGCATGAAAATGAGCTCAGAATCCCTTGATCTTCTGCTGGTCAAAACAAGGTAGCATACTTGTGAGGCTGCCCCAGATATCACACTGATGAAGAACCAGTCACCATTGAACAGGCAGGTCAATGAATTTAGCAAAATAATTGCCTGAAATTACTACTTAAACCATCAAAGTAAAAGAAACAACAATGACGCCGACCCATATCAGTTTCTTTAAAATCATGCCTCAAAAAATAACAGTATCGCCACCGCAAACAGTATCCTAAGGAAATAAATCCTTCCGGAGGCACTTGGAATACATGCAAACCTAGATCAAGCCGCAAACCCAAATTCAGTGAAAGCCAGCACACATGTTTCCCTCCCTCAAAGTATAAACAACTCTAACTTTCCAGTTCTTGTCTAGTAATCCCACTTGGCCAAACAAAACATTACCAACGCCACTCATAGAAACTCCATTCAAATACCTTCACAATAGCAGAAAAATCAAGCTCAACTTCTACCTTCTTGAAAACACACCACCATGCTAATCTCAACAGCCCACAACTCTGCCTTCATAAAAGTACTTATGACTAAGTTCATAGCAAAATCACCAATTCCCTGACCACTCTCAATTTCTCAGACCACTCTAAATTTCTCATCCCTGAAAACATCACCACCTTCGAAATCATCAGCCCAAGTACAATAGGCCACTCCACACTCAAATCATTACAAGCAAAACCCTTAGTTAAGTTATGCATGGTCTAAGTGATTAAAGTTTGCTAACACTAGGGAGGTAATGAATGGGAGGAAAAAAAAGGTAACACTAAAGTAGAAAACACTGAAGCAACTAAGGAAACATAAAAAAAGGAAAAACCATGATTTTTAGATACTATGTTATGTTATATAATTAAAAGAAAATATTATGAATTAAATCAAACAGAAAAACCCATGTTTAGAGGAGAGAACCTTAAATAAATCAAGAAATTGTATGAAATCAAAGAAGGGAGAGAAGATAATACTTACTTGGATTGTTGTCCAATAGTAATTGAACAAGGAATGGATAATATAAAAAAAAAAAAAAGGAAGGGAGAAGAATGATTGAGAGAAGAAGGGAAATCTTGACAGACAGAGGAAAAAGTGATGGCGCAGAGATTGAATGAAAACCTCAAGAAAGGACCAAATATCATTTTTGTCCCTATAGATTCACCAATATTTCATCTTTATCTTGCAATTTAAAATTTGCCAATATAGTTTCTTAAAAGTTTCAATGTTATCCATAATTATTTAAATAGCTAAAAATTTTTGCTTTTTTTGTCTTTTTTCTTTAATAGTAATTTTCTGATTCTTTTCTCATTATATCTTCTAATAATTCTATATATGATAGTTTATCAGAAAAAAAAAAAAAAACTTGGAAGCAGAAAAAAGAAAAATTTCTTCATTGGTTTTCATTGGCTATCACATTAAATGACAGATGTAATGGAAAGTTTTTAGAAGGATAACATTAGAACGTTTTATCTATTAAAGTAAAGGTAAAAAAATTAATGGTAATGTGCAAATATAGTTATCTCAATAATCATACTTTGCACTAAAGGGGTAAGATAAAAGCGACTATTACTTACACTTAATTACCAATTTATCCATAATCTGGATAAATAAAAGCAAGAAATAAACAAAAACAACTTGGATTCATACATCCTCATGTAGAAATCATTATGGTTATATCCTGGGGTTAAAAAAAAAAATTTAAGTTATGTCTTGTCTTTATTCATATATAAGGTTTTTTTTAGTATAATTTATGAAAATTAACTTTTGATTCTGGATCTAATTTAAAAAATTATTTTTCATAAATAAATTAAGAATATAATTAAAAATAAATAACTTATGATAAAAACATTAAATAAAAATTTATTTAACGAAAATTGCTCAAAGTAATTTCTTCAAGAAAGAAAATGGCAATGACTAGAATCCGTAAATTAAACGTTTGGATCTTTGACTTTGATTAAATAAAGTTTTGACCAAAAGTTGGAGCTGTTAAAATTTATTTATTCTTTTTTTTTTTAAAAAAAAAAAGCATTCATTTTTTTAAATCAAAACTTGAATCAACTCGAAAAATATTTCCCTGACAATTTTTTTGGGCACGGGAGTTTGCCACGTATAACATTTAACAGCATCTTTTTAGTTCATTTCTTCAACTTTCGAATAGTTAATGTCAGTCCCTTAATTTTAGTTCCAAGTTATAGTATCCCGTGCACTGACCGGAGCTCCGGTGGATGACGCTCTACTGCCAAATAATAAACAAGCTAAAAATTAAAAAAAATAATAAAATAAAATAAAAGAAGGAGAGCCATGATCGAAGATCAAAAGGTGGAAATCTTAGATGAAGCAATGGTGAATAACTAGACGTTTGGGATCAAAATTACTATAGATACAAACAACATGAACTAAAATTATACTTTTGACTATCTCCTTCTTTGCAGTCTTCAATAGCTGGAAAATTTGTAGGCTGAATGGTTTGATTACTTGATTTACTTCAGATAAAGCCAGACATATGGCAAATGTAAATGTCAATGAAGGCCACGAACAGCGTATACACATGCAGGGAAGCATTCCCATTGCTCACATAACCAAAAACTGTAGAAGAACAATGTGGTTGGTTTTTAATCATCTACTCTTCTAGCTAATCTTCTCAACCATTTACAGCCATCTCCATTATCACATCATTCCAGTAGTCAATAGGCCCAGGTAAACACCAATGTAAACAATCATTCTGAACTTTCGCATTTTTGTCCTGCGCAAATGGATGAAACTGCCTGTATGGACCCGGATGGCCATCCGGCCTTGATAACAAAAGATTTGTGAAATCGAGTAGTTTAAGATTTACCCCATTTTCAGCAGCTTTCGCAGACGCCTTCTCAAACTCGGTTAATTCAACATTACGGAGAATCTTGTTCAAGTCTTTTAATTCAATCTCACCTTCTTTAGCTGGTGTTGTTTTCGTACAATTCCCTCCATTGTGCCATTCTCCATTCTCAAAATGATCTGGTGTGGATGTCCTGAAAAAGATCAATCCCTCATGCTTGGACGTTGCAATGAAGTTCATTGCGTACCTTAGGGCTTTTTCGTAAGCGAAGACAAATCCCTTCTCTGTCAGGTTCTTTCCAGGACATATATGGCAGCCCACCGCTGTGTCATTCTCATGGTAAATAGCAGCTTTGAGGAACCATTTTCCAGTAGAGACTATCATGTAGTCAAAGCTCTGGTATAGATTTGTCCAGTTTGTATCAAGTTTGTCAAGATGCAACTGAACTTCGGTTGTTGAAACACCATTATTATCTTCAAAGATGGCAGCTTTTACAAGGAAAGGAGACCAGATGGTTGATATGGTAAAGTTGTAAGAAGGAAAATGCCATCTTTTTGATTTGTACTCCTCATCATGGTAAACTTCAACTGCTTGTTCAACCTGCAGGACCATACGGTTCAATCTAGTAAGCTTTTTACTTCCCTTTGCCAATTCTTTGGCTGTTGTAGGTTTTTTTTTAAAAAAAAAAAAAAAAACCTACAACAACCAAAGAATTGGTACACTTATACTGCGCTCATTCAACAACAGTTAACATAGCTTAGCAAGCTCTTATTAGCAAAAGGAACATTTTAGGTGACAGTAATAACTGATGAAGTACACATCCTGCCTCGCAAAGATGCAGGCAGAGGCACTGAATATCGCAAGATATCATGGTAAGAAATGATTGTGGAGAATAAATGTGTTGAGAAGACCGAAGAAGGCTAGAGGTGAGGGAAATGAAGATTTAAGCATCACCATTATAGTGACAGAAACTCATGCTACAATTGACATAGTTTCCAGTGCCTCAAGGAAACTCCATGCATCTTCCAAGAAGACTGTACTCTCCTTGTAACTTTTGGACATGGCTAACTAAAAAATCAATTCTGATTAACGTTCATCATGAAAACGTGACAAATTGTTACAGAAATTGACGAGCCAACCACATTATAAGGCCTATGTGTGCATCAAATTCTTTGGATTATTTTGCAATGGTACATGATGCAATTTGTAAAAGCATTATAACAGCACCGTTGGTATAAAAATGCTAACATGAAGCAGAGTAAATTATGCATGCCATGAGTTAGGAAAACAACCTCATGAACCAACAAACAAAGTGCTGGGTTCATTATGATTTGGCCAGTGGAGCACTGTAATAACCTTGTTAAATTTACTAAACGGACCAGAATCCCGTAATCATAGAGCCTAATATGATAATGAATGCATATCCAAACCACCAAGAGCCAGAGAAAGTATACTACACAAAGGGCATGCAGAAACACTGTTTATGATGACAAAATGTTTGATTTATTTAATAATTTTGATAGCATTCATAAAACGCATGAAGATGAAAAATCAATGGTGCTCAATTATATACCAAACAAAAGATAATGTCATGCAATGAAAAAGCTATCAAAAACCCGAGTACAAGCTGTAACAGCAACTCAGTGGAGACATCGATTGTTGCCACCAAGATCAATGATATAATGAATTTTTTAGGAAAGTCCACATGCTAATGGAAAATTAACGGGAACATATTACTTGGAAAAATAAGGATCTGAATGTCCCTAATAAATATCTGCACTTAACCAGAATTGAAGTAACATCAACCATGTAAACATTAACAGATCTAGGCAGTAACTCACAAACCATAACATAACGATTTCAAGAGAATCGAAAACAATGAATCTTGAACAGTTTATTTTTGTCAATTCTGCTCCAATTAATTACGTGTTTATTTTACTCAATATAAGTATAGTAAATCAGAAGGGCACAGAAAGGAAAGATGCGAAATGTAGTTCAATTGTCCAAAGCGAAAATTCAAATTGCTTAAGCAATCCCCAAAACTTACTGTTGAGAGAATGCATAACAACGACTGTACATGGTTGCGAGATATTGAATCACCAATCAATGCCCATCTTTTATTCCTCATCACCTCAAGGAACCTTTGAGCATCAAACGGAGGTAACTCACAGTCTCGCGGATTCCACCTCCAGAATAGATAGCCTGAATCGGTTCGTCCATTCCTCATACAATTCTGATGACCTTCAATCAAGGAGCAACTGGCGTTGGTGTACATTGGTCCGGATGGATTGGGAATCCAATCCCCAGTGAAAAGATCACACTTTCCATCATTAGGTTCTGTAAAACCAAAGCTCAGTCTCAATAAAATCTGTAATGAGAGGTTTCATGGAAAGTAAAGGGGTATTAATATTCAAAATAGATACTAATAGATTCATTTATGAAACACGCAGCTAGAACAACATCCGTTAATATTTCCACCAATTTGTGTCGTAACAACCGACTGTGCCAAAACCCACCACAAGTTCCAATCTTGCAAATCACAAAAAGTATTTTCTGTGATTAGATCTCGAAGTACACTCAATGATGCATAACTTTCTCAAAAGCAAAGTCACTTGACTCCCAGATAATCTAATTTTCATGTACATTGCATGCAAAAACGGAAACGAAAAGATCTTTGAGAACAAAACATCTCAAATTTGTTAAATTTGTTACCTGCTTGAGGCGTCTCGTCTTCGTGTTCTCTTACATCAGCAGATAGAGAAGCCTCTGAAGTATTGACAGAAGCAGGTGGCTTTGGAATATCACCAGCAAGAGGCGGCCCTAGAGTATCAACAGTAACAGGTTGCGGTGGTTTTGGAATCTCAACAGAAGAAACAGGTTCCTTTGACCATTCAGTGCTATCAACAAATGGGGTTTCTAAATTTGGTTCAAAACTTGTCGATCGATAGAAAAAGAATCTAAAAACAAAACCCAAAAAGAGAATTGCAATTGCTAGCTTAAACATCCAGTTGTTGTACTTGTTAAGAGACTTTAGCCTCCAAATTACCTTCATTTGCTTGCTTTTGCTACTCTGCTTCGATCTTTGTTGCTTCTTCAGAAGCTCTCTTGATGTGATCAAGATCTTGAGCTTTAGTAATGGAAAGTGTCAGGCAGCAATAAAAGTAATCAAGAAGAAGAAGACAGTGAAGTGGATCAACTAAAAGCAAGTAACCGACATGGAAGACAGTGTTTTTGATAACATAAGCAAGGTTAATTCAGGAAAAAGACAAGACTGGTTAGGAAGAAGGAAAAACCAGAAGATGGGGGTGCCACTGTCAGCTGGCATTTTTTTTTTTTTTTGTTTGTTACCCCTGCACTTTTTTATTTTTTTATTTTTATTTTTTGACAGTTATGTTATCATTACCTGGCGTCACCTACTGGACGCAGACTCTAGTCTAATTGGATTTTGAACAATCAATTATGTATTATTGTATTCATCAAAAAAATTTCTTTCAGTTATATCGAACTTAAGATGATGATATATTATCAAACTCACTTACTATTTAAAGGAGTTATGAGTGTGGCAAGCAAGAACACTTTCTGTTTGTCTAGAGAGAATCGGCAATTAAGTAACATGGGCACTACTTTTTCTTAATAAATCAAAATAAGAAGCCCAGATAAAAAGTGATTGAGTAATAATTGTTAATGATTTGTGATTAAAATAGTTAATGATTAGGAAATTGTAGTAGTTAATGATTCTTTTTTCTTAAGAAAAGAAGCCATTGTTGATGGGAAAGTGGCGTTGGATTTCAAAATTATTACTGGCAAGGTTCACTTTCACCTGAATTGAATTGGAAAGTCATGTCCAAGCTACAAGAACTTATGTCACCGCAAATCATGCAGATTTACCCTCAAGACCATGTAAATTCCCGGAAGCCAGCAGAACAGAATTTTCAATGTTGTACAAACACCCTTCTGGCCTGTGAAAATATAGTGCTTGGATCAGTGGACATCTAAGACTTTGGTATTTATGTAATTTTAACTTCCAACTAATATAATAGTATTATGGTCTCAGTCCCACCCTCTAACTTCTCAGATGGAGTTGACTGGGGCACGGCCACTTGTAGGTCAGAAGACAGAGAAAGAAATAATCCAGATAGAGTGAGTAAATAATTATTTAGTTCCTCAATTTTGAATACAATTATAACATACTCCCTTATATTCGGCTCCTTTTTACCTTTATCTTATTAAAAACAAGAGTCTAGGAACTAAGTTATAGATTTTCCAAAAACAAAGGATTAAATTATAATCAGATTTAAAACCTAGAGACTAAAGACTAATATAATAATCCAAATATAATAGGTAGAAAAAGAAAAAGCGAGCATATTTTTATGAAATAATGAATGTTCATGATCATTTTATATTTTCACTACTCATGTAATTCAATTCACCATTTAATATGAGAAATTAAAAAAGTGATATTATTTATTCAATTATTTATGTATTTTTTTAATTATTCATAATTTCTTCTAATTCTCTTTCTAATCTCGAAGCGTTTAAATAGGTTTGATTGTTCGTTAATTTGTATACAAGTATTTGGTAGAGATTGAGAGAATTGTTTGGAGTTGTTATCTCTAGTATTCTCTTTATTTCGTAATGAAATATTTCTCCATCATTTTTCTCTCCAATTCTATTGTTGTTATCATTTCTTTTATAACCCGTTTCAGTGCAAAACTCTAACCAATTGAGATAATAGATCATGATATATGTATCTACCAAAAGACTCGATCATTTGTTTTAATCATTGGATTTTTTCTACACAAATGCTCTACCAAAAGACCTAAATTATTTAGATCATTAAGAGGTATGTATTTAATTTATCATATACTTTAAATCTAATGATACATAGAATATACCTTTGAAAAACTTAAATGATTTAATATATAGAATCTAATAATATAATATATATTGTTTGAAAAGTTTAAATTTTATTATTATGTTTTTTTCTTTAATTTTTTTCTTTAATTTTGTTTTATTTCCTAATATTATTATTATACTTTACATTATAGAATTTTTATGATAACAAGCCTCACAAAACTTGATTTTGTAGCCCTTGACATTTTGAGCAATAATTATTGATCATGAGTGTTTGATGCTCGAGCAAATATTCTCTATTTTTCATATCTCAAATGCTCCTGCATGACGGCATATCAAGAAAAAAAATTTTGAATCGATTTCATACTTACTCGTGACCAAATAAAATGACAAGTTATTAATAAAAAAATAAATCTCGTCTAATCGAAACTATGTCATTCCCTCAAGTGAATGTGACAACTTATAATAATTTTGAACATAGACAAAGATGTGGTCATAGTCATGGACATGGTTGGAATAATTATCATTATAGTCGTGATGACCATGATAATACATCTCACCATAAGAAGTGGATGACTATGGGAAAAAAATAATAAAAACGGATCAAGTCGGTATTCTAAAAATGAATGTTATAGATGAGGCATGAATGGATATTGGTCACGTATCCGTCGTATGCCAAAACACCTCATTGAGCCTTATCAAGTCTCATTGAAAAAAAAAGTAAAATATAGAGATCAATTATATATATATATATATCAAAATAGAGATAATTGAAATTAATAAATTGTTAGCTTTTCTATTTATAAATAAGATGTTTTATATTTTCTTATAATTTTTATTGCATAGAGATAGTTATAAATGTATTTTACTATTTATTTATTATGTTTATGAAGAATATATTTATTTATTTTATGTTTTTTATTTAAATATTTATTTTGTGTTAATATTATATCTAATAATATCAATTTAGGAGAAAGCTCTACAATAACGATTATATTATTACCTAAAGCGATAATTTTTTTAGGTGAAGAAGAGCGAATACATTATTATTTGAAGAGATAACTCTTAAAGGCTCACAGAAGAACGAATATATTATTACTTGAAGTGACATAATTTAAAGGCTCCAAAATAAAAAATATATTATTATAAAAAAGGATAATTTTATTATAAATTATGCATTATTCTCTCTAAAATCTCATAAAAATTTGTTGAGTTTTAAATATATTCATCTAAATTGATATCATATCAAAACAAAAAATATGAAAAATGCTGAATATTTATATATTATAATAATTATATTAGGTAGAAAATATGTATTGAAAAAATTTATCCACTTTCTCTTTTGATCTTTATTACAAATATTGGAATTGTCACGGGGCGACATCGGGGGTGAGGGCAACGTGTTTAGGGCAAAAATAGGAAAAACGGGCCAAAATAATTAGAATCGCTATCTAGTATTATGGTTACTAGAAAACCCTATGACTGGTCACGTTCGAGTTCTAGATAAGGGGTTTATTATGTGTAAGGAAGATTAAAAATACCTTACCCTGACCTACCTAGAGCAAGCTACATTGCATATAACATTGATTTGATTTTTGATTTTTGATTTTTTATGATGAAAATCCGTACTTATTTTCTAATTATTAGCCCACCAATCAAGTGATTTAGGACTTGATCGATTAGAAATCTTGTCCTCACTCTATAATGAATAGCAAAAAAAAAAAACTAAAAGGCATGATGAATTGCAAGGATATATGGCTAATGTGACTTAAATGGCATGCATGAAAACGAGACTTAAAGAAAACGAGGCTTAAAGATAGGTAAATGGACAAAATGGGTAAGTTGGCAAAATATGCAAACTAGCAGAAATATGTAAATAACGACAAAATAGGCAAATTGACAAAATTAGTAAATAGACAAATAGGCAATTTGACAAAATAAGCAAAATCGACAAATCGATAAATCAACAAATAGGCAATTAGACAAAATAGGCAAATTAGTAAAATAGACAATTAGGCAAAATAGAAAAATTGGCAAGATAGGTAAATTGACAAAATTGATAAATAAGCAATTAGGAAAAAATAGATAAATAGGCAATTTGGTAAATTGGCAAAATGAACAAATATACAATTAGGCAAAATAGGCAAAATGGACAAATTAGCAAAAATCGGTAAATTGGCAAAATTAGCAATTAGGTAAAATAGGCAAAATGGACAAATTGGCAAAATTGACAAAATTAGTAAAATTGATAAAAATCTTTGAAGTTGATGAAAATGATTTGAAAACAAAGATTAAGACCAACTGGAGTTTAAAAATTATGATTTTCGGGAGAAATAAGTAAAATCGTTGAATTTGACAAAAAAGAATAAAAAACAAGGTTCGGATTGACACAACCTCGAATATCATGATTTTTAGCAAAATCAACACAATAGCAAATCAATTCTCACGATGTGAGACAACGATCCAAAACAAGACTCGAATCCACGTGGCTCAAAATCACATATATAAAGACAAATAAAAGTAATATCCATTAACCAATGTTATCGTCGAAAACTATCCTAAAACGAGATTTGAATCGAATTAACTTAAGAATCGCATTTTTATGTAAACTAACAATAATTTCAAAATTAATCATTATTTGATAATAAAAGGGCCAAGACAATGAGTTTCAAATCGGCATGATCTAATATTATTAACGGTAAGCGATTTGACATTAAAATCATAAAAATGATCCAAAAACATGTCTTAAATCAACGTGAAGTAATGATCAAATATTTTTTAAGATCAATTAACACAACTTAATTAATGATCACAATTGACCAAAATAGTTCGAAAACGAAATTCGATCCAACAAATCTTGAAAGTCGTACAAGTCATAACAAACGATTCCCACATCAATAATCAAGAATATTCATCATGTCGGTATCAACATAACCACAGTTCAATTAAACTATATGCAAAGTAATAATTTAATCAAGCCATATGTAAACGATAATTTAAATCAATTTCATGACAACAACAACTTAATTAATTACGGGTATATAAATATAAATCAAATTTAATACATATTAAAATAAAATAAAATAAAGTACTATAAAAAAAGGATGGATTGAACTAGCTAAATTGAGGTTGATTTCAACTCTTTCAACCTCGATGGAGATTAATGTTCATTCACCCGGGGAGGAGAGATGGTTGCTC